ATCACGACACAAGAGGGCAATGCTGCTCCTCTCTTCCATCACAGGAGACTCAGTGCACGGGTATGGTGTCACAAGTGTATTTTTCTGGAATGGTGTGCCACTCAGAGAGAAAACACTTCAAAGTGGTACTCAGCTTACTCCTCTATCGTTATTAATCAATGAGCAATTGGCTTCTGACTTCTTAATTCTGCTTGAATCACATATATATCTGTTTGTAGCCATTTGGGCAGCTTGGTGTTGCTGCTGCACGTGGCTCATTGCTTGCAGTGCTGGTCAGAACCCTTGTAACACACGTGTCCTGCTTATCCATGGTTTCAAGTTATTGAGTGTTCACATATTTGGGATTTGTGTGGGGCTGGTGCAGGGTGGATCTGGTCCCAAAGCTATTTCAGCTCCTGTATTGGGGTATAGGCCTGTGTGAAATACGCCCCAGAGGCAGCTTACATTTCTGTAAGCCCACTCTATGTCGTTGTGTTGGAACAGCTTTGGGATGATATGAGCATTAAGAGACTCAGTGAGTGGGCAATAAAGTGATAGGGACATTTCAGTGCAGATAAGCATAAAGTGATGTATCTGAGCATGAAAGAATTGTAACTGCAGAATGATGTTACTGCTCAGGAACAAGATCCTGGGAGCAGGAGAGAAGTCTGACGGCATGGCAAGCTCATGCATGTTAGTGGTGGAATAAAGCACATCAAAAGTTAAGGATTGGAAGGAAAAGCGGAGGATAAAGTAAGCAACAATGGGGCCCTGTGGTAAGAACCCATTATTCAGCCAAATCCTGAATGCAGTGGATGGTTCTGGCCTGTTTCTGTTTCCCAAGGTACAGTCTGGCTGTAACTTGCAGGGGCTGAGTTTGTTGGTGCTGTTATAGAGGTGAATTTAGTGGAGCATGCAATGGGGAACCCTCCTGTGAGTTTAAAGGTCAAGGACATCTGGGGTTTGCACAACTGGAATGCATAAATAATGTAGGGCCCAGATTTGGGTTTTCTGTCAGATAAATCTTACGCATTTGCTGTAATTTTTTTTTTTTAACATTCCCTTTGTATGATATATTTTTTTTTTTCTCCTGAGGCTTTAGAGTTGTAATTTGGAGGCCCTTTCTAGAGGAGACCAACGGGACTCATTCAGAAGCATGGAGGTTTGCTGTGAGTTGTTCTGTGTGTGCAGAGCCCCAAAGAGAGTTGTGGCATACCTCATTGTTATGACATGAATCCTAATTCTTTGAGATGTCATTACTTAACTTATTTATTATTATTAACTTATTTAAGGTCGTTTCCAACCTTGGGATTTTATGATTCTATGATTTCATTTGCCTGTTGCGCATAGAGAAATCATCTGGTTTTTTGCTGACTGTAAGGCTATGGAAGGGCTTTCCAGTGACACCAGCTCACTTTCTGAAACACAGATTCCTCATTACACTGCCATACTCAGTACGCCTTCAGGAGCACATGCAAAACCTCTGTGAGGGACATTGTCTCTGTCACGTAGAGCAAGTGTGATGGAAGCGAGGCTTTCCGTGGGCATTATGCACCAAACAAAGAAACCACTTTGGTTTGGGCTTTTGTTTCCTGTTTGTGCAAACCATTGTTGTCCTTGTAGAAATTTATCATCTCGAACAGAAAAACAAGAAGGTAGTTTCTGGAGAGGCAGGAATAAATCAAAGCCCCATCGCTGAAGGATTGCTTTGAACAGGAAACGCTCGGAAGGACTGGCCAGGGATCTGCCTTTGTTGGGGTCAGTGCTCCTGCAAACTCCATCACGTCCTTGGGAATACATTTTCTGTGTGCCTCTTTGGGATATGCGTTCTGCTGAGCCACTTTCTACCAGTTTCTCTGTGTCTTTCTAGTGCAGAAATCTCTGCTGCACACTTGTTATCGTGTGCTTGTGCTGGAATGCTGTTGCTCTTCTGATGGTTTCTTCAGACACTTTCTTACCTCTGTTGCTCCAAAGCATTTTGCTCTTTGGGCTCTGCACTGACCAGAATGCCAGATGACAGATGTCTCTGTCATCGGATGAGATTTCATACTGAAATCCTGGGAGGGATTTTACAAGTAATAATGTATCTGTTGTTCTTCCCAGAGCAATTCTGGAGAGGCCCCATCTGTGAAGTGCAGTGCTTTCTGCTGGGGTATTCATCTGTGTGCATTAACCTTAGGGAGGGTAATGGGTGGGCTGAGATGCCTCTGAAGGAAATAATTCCATCACAGAGTTGTGTTGGCATCCAAAGCTGTAAAGACAAATGGATGGCTAAGAAGGGAAAAGCACAAAATCAATTCCAAAACAAAGAACTCAAACCAGCACTTTACCCCTGTATACCCAAAAGATCTTGGCTGATTTCCATCAGCACTTGCTGGGGTAAGCCTAGAACCTAAATAGTTGTGCTGCCTGTAGGATGCCAGGAAATCAGGTGGGATTAGTTCTGATACAGATCGTGGAGCTCAGGTGAGGATTTGGAAATAACCACATGCTGTACACAGGGCTGTATGGTTCCAAGCTCTGCAAAATCTGATGTAGCAATGGAGAACATAGCCAGACTGTGTTACAGCAGCTTTAGTACTTTGCTTCCTTTCAAAAATACAGGTTATGGGAAATTTGGTTTGGTTTGAGCTTACAGAATTCATCTGCAGCATCGGTGCTGTGCCACAGCAGTGGGCTGAGAGTGTGCTGATGGAGGAAACACAGCTGCCCCTGACTGGAAGAAAGGACTAACAGGGTTCAAGTACAGAATGTGTTATTTGGAAGCAGCAGAGGATAAAGTATGGCTGATTGCTTTTCAAGTGTTTTTCCTGCCATGTTTTTTCAGGAATTGCCTTACTTCTGCCTGCCAGTGGTACTACAGAGGTAAGCTGTGTAAGCTGGGCCGTGACTTACATAACACTGCCACTGAAGATACATGGGAACCTAAAAATAAAGCTGCTCCTCAGGGTGTTTTTGCTCTTTTTTTATTTTGTGAGAACTGTGTTTTCTTGAGGCCAGTGCTGCTATAACCAGCAAAAAAATGAGCAGACTGGAACCAAAGCAATAACAGCAAGCTAGCTGTGGTGTAATACCATTTTGTGTGGAAATGGCACAGCAGCACACGTACAGAACAGCTTTTGTAAATCATACAGGGGAAGGAGCGTACAGGATACGGGTCTGCAGAGGCAGTCTGAATGCAGAAGCCTTACAGGCAGCTTTTGTACACGTGGCCCCTGTGTTTTCATAAGGGTTGTTACGATGTCTTCAGCAGCACTGTGTGGTGGTTGTGATAATCAGGGTGTGTGGGAGGAATGAGGGTGTGAGCAGTGGGCTGGGAGCTGTGCAGAGCATCCAGAGCAGCCTGAGGCCTTTCCTCAGGGCTGGGGTCTGTCTCAGGCCCCTGGGGGCACCTGCAGTGTTTGTGGCAAAGCTGTTGTGTGGTCTGTCCCAAAGCATGAGGAGATTGAGGCTGCTTTAAGAATTCTGTGAGAAGTTTGTGTGCTTAATATAATAAGGAGCACACCTTTTTAGGGCATAGATGTCTATTAAATCATAGACTCCCCAGGGTTGGAAAAGGCCCCCAAGGTTACCCAGCCCAACCTACCACCAGTATTTCCCACTGAACCACATCCCTCAGTGCCACATCCACACCTTCCTTCCACACTTCCAGGGTTGGTGA